ATTTATTATTAAAATATATATAAACTAATTTAAAAACACGATCATTTGTCAATTTATTTCGTTTTTTATCATGTATATAAGAAAATGTAGGAATAGAAAGAACTCTTACTGCAACTTTTGTCAATTCAGGTGACACAGCTCCAAAATTACCTTTCCACCAGGTTAATAAACTCGCATTATTGGTAGATATCCATGAGTTGCCAAATATAGTTGCCAAATATTATACCACTACGAGCTCTATATTGTAAAATTTAATTTCTGCATTTTCTGCATGTGACATTTGAAAAAAAATCATGCGCATCGAAATTAACCAATCACATTATTTATTTAGAAAATGAAAATTTATACAATATATATTAGTAAATGATAAATGAATTAATACATATTTTTCATGATTATATTTAAAAATTATGTAGGATTGTAAAGCAGCTAAAAATACACAAGCTCCACCTAGCAGATAATGAGAACCTAAAAATTTTATTTGTGTGGCCTAATAAAGGAAACCTAACAATTATTATTTTAAATTTTTAATCTTATTAATTTCTTCCAACAAAGTTTGCATTTGAAGCAACAATTGATCATTATTATGATTTAATTTCTCGATATTATTTTTGTTATCTCCAAGTTTATCTTCAATTAGTTGAAATCTTGAATTGAAATCTATTGTTTCATGATCTTTTTTCTTAGGCATATCAAAAAGATTTCTAAGTCCATCAGAAATGTATGGAAGATTTTCTGCATCCTCATTACTATCATCTACTTCTTTAATTGTTTTACAGATGTCATCATTTAATACTTTATTGAAACTAACAAAATTTTTGCAAAAAAACAATAATCAGTAAAAGAAATTTATCAAAATTATTTAATTGATTAAATTAATTATTATTATATTTACAATATATCTGGAAACCAATTTCTCCAGCGACGTTGATTAGGAAGTAAATAAAATAATTCAATCTCTATGATAATTTTTGCTTTTTGAGCCAAAATTGCCTCCTTTGTATTATAATTACCAATTTCATTGCTGAGCAAGCCAATGAATAGATTCATTAAGTAAACCACAACTATGAATGAAAATCCAACCACTAATACTACAAGATATGTATCATCTTGCAACACTCTAGTCCCAAATGCTCCATTATCTCCTAATAAAAAAACCAATCAAATTAAATTATTTAACTTAATTGTTATTATTAACATACTGTATATATATATAATTATTACCTGTGAGGAAGTTATACATTGCCAGAATTGAGGAAGGGAATTGCGCAAACATGTTTGTGTCACCATCAGGTTGTTGTACAAGATATAAATCTTGACTGTATGAATCATTGTTTGCAAAATATGTATAATATTTATTAACAAGGTTCCAAGGATTGTTGGAATCATCATTGAATTTAAGTTTGTCCAATTCAACATCTTGATTTGGTTTCAATAATAAAAAAAATGCATGAGAAAAGCTTAAAATGATTATCATTATTATAATTAAGAACCAAAAGACTTTTTTAGCAACTCCTATAATTATGGCAAAATATGCTCCAAAATTTTTAAAAACTCTTAAAAATAACATTAATCTTAAATCTAATAATAAATTTGATGCAGAAATCAGTTGAACAGGTGGTGGGCTATTATAATGCAACCATAGAATTGAAGTAACAATTGCTAAGGAATAGGCACCTAGGTCTATTAAATAAATAAATGATAATAGTATTATTAAATGGTTAAAATTAATTAATTGACAAATAATAATAAAATAACACCATACCAAAGTAATTCCAGAAATCTTTGATATATTTCAATGGCTTCCAGATAAATTGTCTAACTTCTATTGTGAGATGAATCATTCCAAGGAAAATTGTTGTGGTTAATAATGAATTTCTTTTTTCATCAGATAATTGATCTGGTGAAATAGATGTTGCAATAACAAAGCTTGATAAAAATGTTATATAAAAAATCAATATTCCAATATAATATTTAAATCCAAAAGTATTCCATTTGTGATCCAAGATTTGTTTAACATTCCAATTTTTATATAATTTTTCATTGCCTATTTCAACTAATTCAACAAATATACTACTATCCGGCTTATAGAATAATTCTTTCCATGATGAATATTCACTATTGTAAGTGAGTAATCCAGGATATGAAATTATCAATTTTACACAAGGTTTATATGTGTTATTTAAACTAAGTTTGCTTTTAATAAAATCTATAAATATATTATATTTTTTAATAAAAATATAATAAAAAACCCAAAAGCTTTTGTCTTTGTAAATAAATGTTTCATAAATATTATCCTCAAAATAATTAGGCTGACTAATCATTGAAGTTTGATTAAAGAATTTTGATACTAAATTTTGGTGATTTATTTGTAATCTTGGTAATTCTGGTATAATTATTTTTAATAAACTGATATTTGATTCAGTATCCTTTAAAAAATGATTAAGGCAACGATCAAATATTTTTTCTGGAACAATGATGTAATTATAATCTAATGCTAATTTTAAAATTTCCTTTCCATATTTAAGATTGTAAAAATCATCCAACATGTGTAAAATCATTTCTTTATAAGGGATACTAGAAAAGCACAGGGCACAGGGATCTGCAAAACTCGCCTGTCCCCTGTGCTTTTCAAGATTTCACCATCAAATCTAGAAAAGGACAGGCGAGT